AAAGAACTTAAATATAAAGATTAAAATCACTTTTCAAAGTGTCCCTTTTCTTAATGAGACTTCAACTAACAGGCTGGGAGTTAGAGCTGCTCAGTTCCTGTGGAGATTGAATAAGGGCTACATTACTTAGTCCCCTGCTCTTAGGCTACAGATTTTAATCGCCTAAGGCAGAGGCTTTTAACCATCAGATTGAGCAAGAACGTTTTTAGGCTTTTTAGAAATTATCAATAAGCATTCAATATACTTAGAAAGCTAGAACTTCTGGAGACTATCAGTCTTTAAAGCTACACCTGTGTCTGACTCTACGTCTCGTTTCAACCCAGGTCAGGAGGCCACTAACGAAAAAAAAATTCATATCATACTTGCATTCCAATTTCAATATATATTCTGACAAAGCCATCACCTCAATGTTCATTTCTTATTTGTAGTTTAATATAAACAAATAAACATTTTTGAACGTTAACTTTCAACTCTACCATCTTGCAGAATCCACTATTAGTTTCAGTAACTAGAATTTTTTTTCTCTATATGGCTCATTGTGTCATCAAAGAAAGATAGTTGCACTTCTTTCTGGTTTCACTCTAGTCCACCTTACTTTTCTCTCTCATATCATACTGCATTGACAAGCTACTTAAGTAAAATGCTATAAGAAGTTAATATATATATTTATAAAATATTTATATAAAATTTTATATACTTTGTATAGCTATATATTTATACATTATGTTTATATATTTTAAATATACGTATACATGTATATACATTTATATATTTATGTATAAATAATAAATTTGAACTAGCCTTTTATTACTAAGGTGAAGCTGATTTACTTACCATGTTTTATTTTTATGCAATTGGATTTCACTTGCTATATTTCCATATTGGAGAGTGATAGTAGATAGATTTTTTTTTGTCAGACATATCCTTATATCAATGTAATGCTAGACTCATGAGTTTTGATGTACTCAACTTTCTATTTACTGAAAGAATTATTACAAAATAAATATTTTTCCTTCCTTAAATATTTGGAATGGGGGGTGGTGATAGTGGAGAGAAGGCACTAGTTGCTCTTGAAGAGGACCTGGGTTGGCTGCTCAGAACCTGATAGTGGCCTACAATCACCCGAAACTATCTGACAAATGTATCTAACTATCTGTAACTCTTCTGAGCCAGTGGACATCAGGCATAGACGTTATTCACATTTAAGTGCAGGCAGAACACTCATGTACATGGGTCACCCTTCTCTCAGGGATGTTGGCCACTGGTTGGAGAGGACAAAGGGAGCAGAGTGGATGAACAGGGTTTTAGAAGTCCTGTGAAGGAAATAACAGACTCATTTCCAGGATCAGGCTCATGGGGAAAGATCAATTTTAATCAGAGTGAACCACAACGTGTATAGTTTTGGGGAAGGAGGTAGGAATATCCAGGGTGGGCAAAGGTCCTTGGGTGAAGGCTAAGGTACTAAGATTCCTCATTAACATGGGGAAGCAATCCAGGAATCTTAGATGCTTGCTGAATGGGTTCTTAATGGGAGAAAGGAAGCTGAATCCATGAATCTAACCAAGGCTATCTAACATCCTACAGGCAAATGTTATAGGGATTTTGTGCCTCTTAGACAAGGTCAGAGAAGGAGAATCCTCACCGACAAAGGGATTTGCCATCATTTTGCTGCCATTTTGCACAGAGCTCAGGGCTTTCTATTAATGTCAGACTTGAACTTTAGCAGTAGGGCTTCCCAACACAAATATAGCAAATAAAGTAGACTAAACAATTAAAAAGATGCCTAGGAGACTGTAAACAGTCACGTAATTTGGTCTTGTAATTTTTTTTAATTATGATCCTAAGTTACTATGTTAGATTATGGAGCTTTCATGTCATCCTTAAGATATTTTTGTGATATTTTTGATAGCTTGTGGCTCTCAAGGAAATTGTACATTTCATTTTTGCTCATTGCAAACTTTTGTTAATACTTTAAAATACCCTCATCCTTTGGATTTCTAAAAAGTCTATACTGATAACTCTAATCTTTAAATTTGTTTTTGGTGTGTACTTATAGGATTATGTGCTTGTATATTTGTATGTGGGTACGGGAATGCATGTTTGGAGACCAGAGGCCAATCTCAGGTGTCATTAGTCAGAAGTGATGCCCCTTATTTTTGAAACAGGGTGTTTCTCTGGGACCTGGGACACAGTGTAGACTAGACTAGCTAACTAGAGAGTCCCAGGGATCCTTCCTGTCTCTTCCTTCGCAGCAGATATTACAAGCATGTTCCCTTGCACCTAGCTTTGTGTGTGTGTGTGTCTGAAGACAGAAATAAGGTCTTTATGTGGCAAGCACTTTACTGAGCCATCACCCCAGTCTCTTTCTTTTTTTTCCCCCCATTCTCTTTTTTACTGGAGCTTATGTCCCTTCTGATCTTCTTTCTCTGTTTTCATCTTCCCTTCTCCTGCCATTCCTTCTTTACTCCTTGATCAGTCTAGGTAGATGGTTTGTTAACTGCATGTTGATGCTTTTGAAGAATCTTTTTGTTTCATTTATTTCATTTTTCTTTAGTTCTATCCTTTTTGTTGTTTTTGTTGTTGCTATTATCTTTGGTTTGAATTAACTGAACTTACTACCAATATTTCAAAATGGATGTTTGCATCATTGAATTCTTCCCCTTCTAATTAAAGTAGCTCCTAATTTCATTGTAGATACATAATATACTTCGTAAAATTTCAGCCTTTTTTGCTTTTGAGAATGAAATGCAGAGACTTATACATGGTATACAAATGTTCTACCACTATATTTCATTGATAGCCTTCAATCCTTTTTTAAATAGATGAAATTTGTTTTATGATGCTGAATATAGTCTATCTCCATATGTTCCATGTATACCTTTTAATTGTATATATTTTGTTAACTTAGTCATATGTGTCAATTAGGTTCAACCTGGAGGTTGTACTATTCAAATCTTTTATAGCTGTATTAATTTTCTATTTTATCATTAATTACAGAGGCATTTCAATTTTCAAATTAAGCTTGGTGGATATGGTGATGACTGCTTGTAGTCTAAGTTACTTGAGAAGTTGAGACAGGAAGAATAGGAAATTGGGGGCAGTGTGGACAAAATACCAATGTCTCATCTTTACAAAACAATGTTATTTGAATATTTCTGCTGTAGCAGTATTACTTTGTATAATATATTAAAAATATATATCTCTATTTTATCTATTCCTATCTATGGAAACATTTGATAGATATATTCATGCTTAACATTGTTATGTCTTATCAAAATTAAGATTAAAATAATTAAAATTTTGTCTGATTCAAAGAAGAGTCCATAACTTTTCTTTAGTTCTTTTCATTTCTGACCTGGACTACATACACTTGATAGGCTGCACCCTTGCTTTGCTGTTTAGTTTGTTTTGGCCAATAAGAGTGAAACATGGAATGTGGGAAGAGATTTGAGCATTTAGTCCTTTGAGGTTTTTCCTCCACTTGGCTGTGGGGGAATAGTTGTTATGTTTGTCTGCGAAGGCAATCACTTTTGTATGACTATAAGTTAGGTGACTGCCTCCTACAGGTATAGGTCTCTTTCCTCTCTAGTAATTATCCTTACTTTTTGGCTTAAGAATGATAATGTCTCTTATTAGCTGTGGGTTCCCAGTCATCACATTGTATGTGACAATCTCATTAAGTATCACCTTAATCCTCCTCTGTCATTTATTTTGTTCTTCCCATTCCATGATTCACAGAAGTTGAATTCACACATTTAAACAGACACAACAGACAAGAGTGTATTGGAATGTTGATTGGTGGAAGAAAATTGGCCATATGGTAAATTGTCCTAATTGCAGTGCCAATGCTCAATATTCTCATACTCAGAAAACATACTCTTGACATCACCGTGGAAGAGACCCTCAGGATACAGACTATATTCATCACCAACTATAGATATGATTCGGCAGTCAACAAAAAAAGCATCAGGTCTCAGAGTACCTCAACTGAGCTGCACAAATACATCTACTACAGTAGTCCTACACTGTGGTGGGATTTTTCTCTTCTCACTCCATCTCATATGTCATTTGAAAATACGTTGTATTTTATGTAAACATCCAAGAGTTAGGATAGGTTCCCTATGAAGTGGATGTCCTCAGGACAAGCTATATACTCAAATCACAGCAGGTATTTGAATTCAACCCCCCCCCCCCACCTCAAGACAAAATGAATAAATTTTAAAGAACAGTTTAATAAGGAAAATGGATGGAAACATGTTTTTAAAAAATTGTATCTCTTCAGATGTATTACAAAGGGAGTAAAAGTTGTTATGTCTGAGGAAAAAGCAATCTGACTTATTCAGTGTGTCTGGACAAGGGATTCTCTTCTCCCTCGTGTTCTGGGCCACTGCTTCAGAGCAGAAGGCATCCACCAGAGGAAAGCGGTGTGGGCCCCAGGGCAGGAAGAGGGTGGACCCGCTGCGGACAGCCGAGGGAGGCGCGGGGTTCCCGGGAATAACGCTCTCCCAGGCCTGGCCTGAAGCTGATCCCGGCTGTTCTCAGAACCTCCTCCCTTTCCTCAATAGAGAACTACGTTTTCGTAGAGCGATCTCACCCCGCAAACTCTCAAAGATACAGAGAAAAGTTAAGACAGACCTCCTGTACCAGTCCGGACCCACATGGTCTCGCGAGAGCTTGGGCAGAGCTAGACTTTTCAGTGAGACTCGCGAGAGGGCGGTGCCGGAGGCGGGGCACGCCGTGGCGGGAATTTCGCCTGCTTCCGGTTTACTCTTGGCGGGCGCCGCGTTCAGCGTCTCGGTCCCGAACGCTGGGCTGGGGCGGAGGGAGGCGGAGGGAGGCTGCGGGGCTGCGTGCACCACCTCGGGCCGCGGCAGGAAACCAGTCCGAGGTGCGTGAGGCCCTCAGAACCCACTGCAGCCCGGAGGGAGCGAGGGCTGCGTTGGAAGTCTTGGCGGCTCCAGTGTCTAGGGCCGGAGGCCTGGAGGACGCTCGTTGCCTTCTGAGCTTCTCTGGTTTAACTTTCTTTGCCCGATGCATGCTGAGGGCACATTTTGGAGCTCTGAGGTAGCCCCTTATCTTTCATCTTCTTGCACCTTGTCTTTGGAGCCTTAACGATAACTGTACGGAACCGCGGTGTCATTTCAGAGCATGATGTAAATAATGGATGGCTGTTCCGCAGCGTCTGTCTTCTTGACTGACAGCTTAGAGCTGGAACTGGGGACAGAGTGGTGCAAACCCCCCTGCTTTTCTTGCGCTTTTGACAACAGAGAGGGAACATTTTCTGGAGAGTCCTACCTTGCCAGTGGCGCCCTTAAGCGGTAGGTAGAGCCCCATCCCCACCAACGTTGGTTAATTATCACTGATGTCTAAACTTAGGTGCTCAGCAAGCCTCGTTTGATATAAGCTTAGTACATAGAAGGTTCTCGCCAGTGTTAGGGCTCTGGCTGGGTTTTGAGTATTACAGAGAACATTCTGGTTAATTAATAATCTCTTAGGAGTGGGTAGCTGGACATTTAATTTACTTGGACTGGTTTCAGAGCAGCCTAATCTTTTGGAACTTGTATTTTCGTTTAAGGATAATAGTTGTCTATAAGTTTTCAGTAGTTTATAAGTAGAACCTGACAGTTGTGTTGCTCCGGTTCTTTCCATCTGCATACAGAATTCATAGACACATTAGTAAAATGAATATTACAATAAAATTGCTGTTCTTGAATTAGTTTGGTAATGCCCTTTGAGGAAACTTCATTAAAGAAAACCGTTTTTGTTGATTTTATGATTATACCTTCTTAATAACCTTAAAACACATTACGTAGCTATATGATGTCATTCTTCATTATTGGGACTGTTTGGTGTTTTAAAAAACGCATTGTCTCTTTGAAAGATAAAATACTATGACCTAAGACCACTTTGTATATTGCCTAGAATTCTTTTAAGTTTTCCTTTCTGAGTTACATTACTTCGCCTGGTTTATACAACGTAAAGTGTAAAGTATCCCCCCAACACACGATATGTATATGTATATGTATATGTATATGTATATGTATATGTATATG